CTCTCTTCACATCTCTCAACCCTCTTTTCTCCCTTCAAAGAGGCTGTTCCCCACCCCCAAGGAATACTGTAGAGACCTCTAAAAAACGAACAACAAATTAGAACCTCTTTGCCAGAACAAGCTGTAAGACCTAAAATGCCACTCTTATCGCCCCCCTTGCCTCCCTTGTCTGACAGCAACATATCCATAATAGACAGCATTCTGTTCTACATCCAAAAAGAAGTGATTCTACCACAAGCTATGAAGCAGCTAGCAGGCATTAGGGTAGCCTTTTTTTTTTTTTTTTTTTTTTTTGTCCCATCTTATTTCTGCACAGTTCTCTAAGCTTCCTCAACCCAAGCATTAAAAATGGATAGTTCACAGCCAGGCGTTGGCGGCGCACGCCTTTAATCCCAGCACTCGGGAGACAGAGGCAGGTGGATCACTGTGAGTTGGAGACCAGCCTGGTCTACTGAGCGAGTTCCAGGACAGCCTCCAAAGCCACAGAGAAACCCTGTCTCGAAAAACCAAAAAAAAAAAAAAAAAAAAGGATAGTTTGCCGGGGTCTTCAATCTGAAAGTCTTACAGCATGTCAAACTATAATTAATTAATTTTAAAAAGTTATACTTTTCTCCTGTCAACTTTTGTTGTTTTGATTTCTTCAGATAGGGTCTTGCTATATAGCCCAGACTAACCTTGAACTCATAACCCTGCTATTTCAGGTTCCCAAGTCCTAGGATTACAAATATGCACTACCACACCTGCTTTCTGTTGTTTTTGTTGTTTTGTTCTTGTGTGCACATATTTGTTTGTGTGCAGAGCATTCCCTTCCTCTGAGGCACGTCTCTTATTGGCCTGGACCTCACCAATTAGACTGGACTGGCTGACCAGCAAGCTCCAGGAATCTTCCTGCCTCTGCGTTTCCTGCACTGGGATTACAAGTGTGCACCACCATGCCTGACATTTTTTATTTGGGTGCTAGGAATTTAACTCAGGTCCCCGTATTTGTAAGGCAAGCTCTTTATGAACCAAGATTATCTCCCCAGCCCCGGATGTTTCACTTTAAATTTTACATACGAAATAATCTCAATAATGCCAACCTTGCAATGGTGCCATGAAGATTCCCTACTGCATGAGGACATCTACTGCAGTGCTGGGCTAGCAGTGTGCACTCAATGAACCCATTACTGGAGCTGTTAGAAGGACTGTTTTAACAGATGGGCTGGAGTCAGGAGCCCTGGGGCTACTATGAGACCCATGCCTTGCCTTTCTGTCCCTCACTATGTCTGCCTGGATATATTTTTTCCTATATACGTGTATCTACTTCTCATTGGCCTGTAAACTGACAGGAAATATTTGCAAAACACTACATGATTCCTCTGGTTTATCTAAACTCCAGATTCTGGGTATCCTGTCCAGTGTGCAGCCATAACAGGACTTCACCTGGCAGGTACCCCAGTCCTCTCAGTCTGGAAAATCTACATGGAACAGACAAGAGTCTGTCTCAGTTGCTGCTTTATTGTGTCCAGGCACTCCTGGTTCCTAAACATCCTGTTTGGTCATGAGGCCTTCTCTCCAAGAACAATGGGGCCGTGGTTATAGCAGGACTGCTAGCTCAGGCTCCCCACAAGTCAGGCCTCTCACTAACCCAGCCAAACCCGGGCAGCATCAGAATGAAAGAACAAGGCTAACATAGCACAGCTGCCAGAACAAGCCATGATGGGGAACTAAGGTGGACGAAAGTCTTTCTTCAGGGATTAGTTTACCGTGCAGCTGTAATGGCTCACTTCCCTGTCTTTCAAAACATTAGACTCAAGGAGCTGAGAGAGATTCGAATTCAGACCAACTGAATCAAAAAACTCTGGCAACATGACACAGGTATCTGTACCTTAACCATTTCTCCTGATGATTTCAAGACCTGCAAAGTACAAAGAATCCAGCCACAAACTTTTAATCATAAGCCTTCCTGCTTTGCCAGGCACTGTGGTAGAAATCTGTAAGCCCAGCAGTCAGGAGTTAGAGACAGGACGGTCACTAAAAGCTCCAAGCCAGCCTGGACTACACCAGTAGGTTCCAGGTCAACCAGGGCTATACAGTAAGAGGCCACTTCAAAAGTGAAAACAAAGGTAGGCAGAATGGCTCAGTGGGTAAAGGTGCATGCCACCAAGCCTGACCGCCTGAGTTTGATTCCCAGAACCCACATGGTGGGAGAGTGAACCAACTCCTGCAAACTCTACTCTGACCTCCACACGTGGGTCACGACACATAGGAACACACGAACACCAAATTAATTACTTAAAAAAATGAAAGCAAAACAGCAACAAGGACAAAACCTCTGCTTCAATTGAGCACCTACCAAAGTATTTCAGAAATAAAGATGCTTTTAAAGAACTTCCACAAAATCAAGTTCACAGCTCAGCATCAGGGCGCACACCGGTAATTCCAGAGCTCCAAGGCAGTGGCAAGAGAATCAGGAGTTCAAGGCCATCTTCAGTCACACATCAAATCTGAAAACAGTCTAGACTCATGCAAGACCTTGTTTCAAAAAACAAAACAAAATGCAAATACACAAAATCACTACAAGGCAAACAAAATACACTACATTATAACAAAGGAATACATTTCCCACCCCTTTCCTCAAGCCATATTCCCTATACTATCTTCTGAGAAAAAAAAATGGCTCAGTGGTGAAGAGCACTTGCTGTTTTTGCAGCGGTTCCCAGAACTCACATCAGGTGTCTTACAACCACCTGAAACTCCAGTTCCAGGGCATCTGGTGCCCTCTTCTGGCCTCTGAGGGCACCCACATGCACACACTCATACACACACACGGACACATACAGTGAGACAATCGGAATCTTTAAAGCCAAGAACTCAAGCCAAGGAAGGAACCAAGATGCCTTATTTCCCTCCACACCTTGCTGTTACAGACAGTCCTCAGTCCAAAACAGTCTTCCAAAGAAAGATAACCCTCACCCCGAGGCCTGGTTTAAGAGCAAAACTCAAATAGGGAAAACAAAACTCTAGTGGTTTTGTTTCTTTTTAAAACTCTATGTGGGGGTATGCACATGATATGTGAGTGCCATGGTTTGTGTGTGGAGATCAGAGGACAAGTTTATGGAGTCAGTTCTCTTCTTCCAACTTATTTGGGCTCCAGGGATTAAACCCAAGTTGCCAGTCTTGTTTGGCAAGTACCTTTACCTGGAAGCCATCTCACAGACCCCTTTCTGGAGGTTTCTGAGACAAGATCCCACTGCATAGCCTAGGGTGCCTTTAAATGGCAATCTTCATGCTATCCTGAATGCTGGCATAACAGGTATGTGCCACCCTGCCTTACTCCAGTGACTCTTATGGGCTTCAAAACCAGTTCTATCTTTTGGTCTCTAAAGGTGCCTATGGCCTATCAGCATCCCACAGAACTCTAGTCTCTGGGAGCACGGACACTCCCACTGGCCCCTGGCAAGCTTGCAGAGTGTGCCGATGTAGACATAAACGTTCACACAGACAGTTGGTCCCCTGGCCTCGCTTCTCCATTCTCAAGTTACAAGGTTAAAAGCATCCTATTCACAGCCAAGGGGGAGGGGTCATGGGAGGGGCCATGTTGAAGCAGAGAACCATCTGGTTCAGATCAAGACTGCTCACTCGGGACCCCCACAAACTTCAGAATTATCCCCCCCTTCCCCACTTTCTACCGGGAGACTGGAGAAAGGGGAAGAAAAGTGTCACCCAAAAAAAAATCAGCGGAGGAAGATGGCAAAACCCAAACAAACAAAAAACGGAATTACACCACGTCTGTGTCCTCCCTCCCTCTTCCCTTCAAATCAGATGCACCAGGACTAAACTGGAGTTCACCGCCTACAGGCACAGTGCCCTCCTCCACAGAGCACTCAGAGCTCATATCAGGCATCCCTCCCAGAAGGGGCGCCCCCCTCCAAAGTTAGCAGCAGATGCCAGATTAGCTAAGAGACATAGCGACCAGAGCTCTCCAATGCCACCATCTCCATGAAGGTAAATGGTCCCTTCCAACCCAGACTTCGGAGCCCACCAAGCACGAGGAAGAGAAGGCCAACCAGCTTCTAGACATTTGTACACAAGTAGGAGTATGGGTTAGTGGCTAGGATCTACTTCCCAGGGGCCCCAGGGTGCCCTGAATCATTCTCAGTGTATGGAGGCAATATGGGAGAAGGATGCAGTTGGCGGGAGTGAAACAGGAAGGCTAACTTGAGCAAGCAGCAAAGGGACAGAGACCCCTCTCTAGGAGGGCTATGCAAGGGAGGGGGCGACAGAAGTAACAGAAGAACTAAACAAGGAGGTACTGGTGTGAGCTCGGCCCAGGGAAGGAAGGGGCTGGGAAGTCTGATCCAGCCACAGGGGCTTGACTGGAGGAAGTAACGTGTCCTACATGACAAGGGGTGGAAGGAACAGGAGGGACAAGGGCTCAGGCCAGAGTCCAGGGGGCAGGCACACTGACTAAGTTTCTGGTTGGTTCATGCCTCAGTTTCTCCAAAGTAGGAAGGAGGTCAAGCTGTCAGGTCTTATTAGAAAGAACTAGGCCACAGAGCGTGGCTAGGGGTCAGCGCTAGGTGGGGGAAGGCCGAGGGGTAGAGGAAAGAAGTGCGGGTGATGCGGACAGGTTCTGGCCAGAAGTGGGGCAGGGGTTTCCGGATGGAGCAGGTTCTCAAGCCCCGGAGGCTGGAGGTACCAACACCTGGGGTGTGGAAGTGTGGGCTAGGACAGGGAACTCAAGGGCTGGGGCTGGGGGCTGCCAGCAAGGAGTGCCACAGGAGCGCCTGGGAGACTGGGAGTAGCTAGATATGCAGGAGCTGAAGGCGGGGATCCAGATCGAGGCCAAGGCTGCCAGACCCCCGCCCACACGGCGCCCAGACCCGGGGGAAGTTGATGGGCTGGACCCGAAGGGTCTGGGCCTCTGAGCCAAGCCCTCCGCCCGCATGGAGGAGGGTTGGGGCAGTACGGGGCCCGGGGAGTCCCGCATCCCTCCCTCTCTCATCCCGCCCGCGCACCTCAGTCTGCGCTGGGCGCCGCGCGGGCCATGCCTGCCGCTCCTGCCGCCGCCTCCGCCCGTGCAGAAAGCTGCCGCCGCCGCCGCCGCCTCCCGCGCCCGGACCCGTTAGCTTCCAGGCTCTCCAGTTCGCCTGCCTTGGGCCAGTCCCTCCCTTGCTTGGCCCTGCCCTCCCGGAGCGCCTCGACTGCAGCTTCAGCCCGGCCCCTCCCCCCACGCCTGCCCAGCAAAAGGAAGGGTGGGGGAAGGGGGCGGGTGCCCCCTCCCCATTCACATCCTCCAGGGCTCTCCCCTCCCTCCTATCCCCTAACTTGTCCAGGCACGCTGGGATATGTAGTCCTGCGGTGCAGGACCTGCCAGCAGTGCTCCGCATTAGGGACTATCACTCCCAGAAAGCAATGCACTCCCATATCTGGGATCATGGTCTTTGTAGTTCTGCCCGGATTTGGGGGGTTAAGGCGCAGTATTAAGGGGCATCTTCATGTGTTTCCCAGACACGCGTCTCCGGGCACCTGAAACCTGGACGATGCAGTCTGTGGCGCCCAAGTCGGGCTTTGGTACCTGGTTCATCAAAGGATGCGAATAAGCTGAGGATGCCTCTCCCATATGGCTGTGATCAACTGCGGCCGAGCCCAGCTGAAGGGGACTGTTTGTACTTGCTCTTGCCAAGAGCCACGACCTGAGCCAGCTGGGTTCATGCCCTGGCCCTGCAAGCTGCAGCTGCAGTGAGGCCGCTAGATACAGGCTCTTCGAAATAGGGGCGCCCCAGCAGCGATGTGGGAATGGGGTTTGTCCTCACTTAGACTGTGTACCCCACCTGCGAGGTGTCTTGTAGGCGACCTACGGGCCCTCATCCACTAGGGCATCGCCTCACTCCAGACTTCTGTCTCTTAGATGCCCTTAGCTACCTATTCCCTAGGGTAAAGTGCACACATTTTAAATATTCATCCACATCAGAAAACCAGTTCTTTCTTTAACTTTCAAACCTAGCTTCAAACCATTATGTTCTTTTTTTTTACTGTTCTCTTTTATTTTTTTAAGATGTATTTTTTAATATGTATTTATTACATATACAGTGTTCTGTCTACACGCCAGAAGAGGGCACCAGATTGAATTGCAGATGGTTGTGAGCCACCATGTGGTTGCTGGGAATTGAACTCAGGACCTCTGGAAGACCAGCCAGTGCTCTTAACCTCTGAGCCATCTCTCCAGCCCCCATTATGAAGTTCTTAATTGATGGCACATCTACCCTTCAAACGTCTCTGACTGGCCAATAGTTCTCACACTGGTGTGTGTTGGAATCTCCCTAAGTAGCCTGATCAAGCAGACTTCTGGTCCTAACCATAAGTTTTTGGTTCATTAGCTTTGGGCCCCTAGAATTTTCCTGTCTGTGCTTTCTTTCTCTTATTATGTAACCCAATGTGGCCTCGAATTCACTTTATAAGCCAGGCCTGCCTGGAATCTATGTTGGATCCTGCCTCATCCTCCTGTGGGTTGGGATTGTGGATATGAGCCACCACACCCTGCAATGCACTTTGGAAACAATTCATTTATGTGTACGATGCTGTGGAGGTTTGAATAGGAATGGCCCCCATAGACTCATGAGATTGAATGCTTGATTCATAGGAAATGGCATTATTAGGAGGTGTTGCCTGGCTAGAGGAAGTGTGTCACTGGGGATGGATACCCACAGTGACAATCTCTCCCTGCTGCCTGCTGATCAAGATGTAGAACTCTCAGCTCCTTTTACAGCACCGTGTCTGTCTGCACGCTACTGTGTTTCCTTCCATTACAAGAATGGATTGAACCTCTCAAACAGTATGCAAGTCACCCCCAATTAAATAACTTTATAAGAGTTGCCATGGGGGGCTGGAGAGATGGCTCAGAGGTTAAGAGCACTGACTGCTCTTCCAGAGGTCCTGAGTTCAATTCCCAGCAACCACATGGCGGCTCACAACCATCCATAATGAGATCTGGTGCCCTCTTCTGGTGTGCAGACATACATGGAGGCAGGATGTTGTATTCATAATAAATAAATAAAATCTTTTTAAAAAAAAGAGTTGCCATGGTCATGGTGTCTCTTCACAGCAATAAAACCCAAACTGAGACAGGTGCTTTGGCCAGGCAGTGGTGGCGCACGCCTTTAAGCCCAGCACTCAGGAGGCAGAGGCAGGTGGATCTCTGTGAGTTGGAGGTAAGCCTGTTCTACAAAACTAGTTTCAGGACAGCTAAGGCTGCTACACAGAGGGGAAAAAACAAGAGAGACAGTTGCTTCTATGTAACTATGTAACTATGTAGCTAAGTGCCAGAAGTGACATTGGATTCTCTAAAACTGGGGTTACAGACAAATGTAAGCCTCCGTGCTGGGAGTCAAACCTGGGTTCTCTGAAAGAGCAGCAAGTACTCTTGACCTCTGATTGTTTCCTTTGTTATGCTTTTTGTTTAAGATGTAATTATTATGTATACAGTGTTCTGTCTGCATGTGTGCCTGCAGACCAGAAGAGGGCACCAGATCTCATTGCATATGGTTGCGAGCCACCATGTGGTTGCTGGGAATTGAACTCAGGACCTCAGGAAGAGCAGTCAGTACTCTTAACCTCTGAGTCATCTCTCCAGCCCTGTTATTTGTTTTTGAGACAGAATTTCTCTGTGCAACAGTCATGGCTGTCCTGCAACTAGCTCTGTAGAGCAGGCTGGCCTTGAGCTCACAGAGATTTGCCTGCCTCTGGCTCCCAAGTGCTAGCATTAAAGATGTCTGTTTTGTTTTGTTTCACCATTAAGATCATCCTTCATGGGGCTGGAGAGTTGCCTCAGTGGTTAAGAGCACTTGTTGTTTTTACAAAGGTCCCCTCACTGGTTAAGAGCATTTGCTACTCTTGGAGAGTGTAGGGAAAAGGGACCAGTCAAAGAAACACACCCTGAACAGAGCCAAAGGAACACACTTTGTCCCTGGAATCAGAGTCAGTGAAAGAAATGCACCCTGGCCCTAAAATTGGAGCCAAAAGGCTAAAAAGGACCAGAGAAAGAAACACACTTTGGCCCTGAAACCAGAGCCAAATCTGACCCTAATCCTGTGTAAAAAAGTAACCAATCCCGGAGCAGAGCTCTAGCCAATCTGAGCTCAGCACTGAAATCGGACCAATCCCTACTCTGGAAAAATTTCCCCAACCCCAGGAATCCCTATATAAACCCTGTGTCTGTTCAGCTTGGCTGGTCCAGCTGCCTTCCAATAAACCCCTTTGGATGACCTTTGGGTGAAGATCTTCTTTTCGGCGGCGACAGAGCAGAGGCGACCCTGGGCAGAGCAGAGCAAGCAGCGCTGTAACACTTGCCCGGGAAACCTTCCTTGGCAGAGCGGAGTTGTTACACTCTGAGCTGAACTGTAGCAACTTCGCTCGAGAAATCTGCCTAGCAAAACTGCTACACTAGGCAAACATCCCCAGCTGGAAGACCCTGTCCTGCCGGAGCGGAGCTGATACACCGGAAAAGCCTTTCTCTGAGACAAGGCTGTAAGCTGCCAAACTTACTGCAACCTGTGGTGGTCCTTGGCTCCCGAGCTCCAGGATACCTTTCTACCTGAGCTGTGTAACACTCAGTGTCCTTGGCTCCCGAGTGCCAGAATACCTGACCCACTCCTGTTCCATCCTGTCCCGACCCATCCCGAAACGCCTACAGAGAGGACAAGATTTGGTTCCCAGCTCCCATATACCAGCTCACAACTACCTGTAACTCCAGTTCTAAGGAATCCTAGGCCCTCTTCTGGCTTCCAGGGGCACCTACATTCACATGTGCACATACCTACATGCATCTCTCTTTCTCGGAGAGTTTACCCAAGATTTTATAATTGTGACTCTTATCCTTTGGGATGTACATGATATTTAAATCTTCTACAACTCAGAAGAATCTCAGAGATCAAAAATCCACATATTCCGGGCATTGGTGGTGCACGCCTTTAATCCCAGCACTTGGGAGGTATAGGCAGGTGGATCTCTGTGAGATCGAGGCCAGCCTGGTCTACAGATGGTTCCAGGACAGCCTCCAAAACAATAGAGAGAAACCCTGTCTCGAAAAACAAAACAAAACAAAAAACCCCACATATTTACAATGCAATCATCAGGAAGGATAGGCATTCTTTGTGGGAGGTTAAATTCTAACTTCATTAGTAGTCAGCAACAGACACAGGAAGCCCAACTTCATTGACTCCTACCCCTCCCTCTCCCTTTTAAAGCACCTCTGTACAAATCCAAACTGAGTTATTTTTTTCCTAAATTCTGCCTCCCGAGTGCTGGGATTAAAAGCATGCGCCACCAATGCCTGGCTTCTCTTCCTAAATTCTTTTTTTTTAAGATTTATTTATTTATTTATTAGATATACAGTGTTCTGCCTACCCGCCAGAAGAGGGCACCAGATCTCACTACAGATGGTTGTGAGCCACCATGTGGTTGCTGGGAATTGAACTCTGGAAGAGCAGTCAGTGCTCTTAACCTCTGAGCCATCTCTCCAGCCCTCTTCTTAAATTCTTATTCAGGCAGTAGTAGTGCACACTTTTAGCTCCAGTACTTGGGAGGCAGAGACAGGTGGATCTCTGTGAATTTGAGGCCAGCCTGGTCTATAGAGTAAGTTCTAGGACATCCAGAGCCACACAGAGAAACACTGTCTCAAAAAAACAAAACAAAGCAAAACAAAACAAAATCTTAGATTCTTATTCCAGCAGTTTGTTACTGATTAAAATCCATTCTTACTACTTTAACTGACTTCATTTTTTAAAAATCTGAAAATACCTACTTTGAGTCCTAGAGGTCAGTCTCTAGCCTCCCCCATCCCAACCTACCCCACTCCATTCACCTAGGAGTGAAGGGTAAGTGCTCACTTTGCTGTGGGCAAGCAGCCAAGTGACTAACAGAAGCATTGAACCCTGACTAAAATTGACTCAGGAATGTTTTTCTGCTTTGTTTACATCTGTGTCGCCATCACAGTCTATTCTGAGAGAGGGTGGATGGGTGGATGGAAAGGGACTAGGTAATACCTCGGCAGCCCAAGTCTCTACCCATAAAATGAGTGACCAAGACCTTTTGCAAAGATGTTTCCATCTCCATTGCAGTAATTTGCAATGGCAACAAATCTCACAGGCAGATGTAAACTGTCTTCATGCTTTTCTCACCCATCTCCCAATTTGAAAAGAAAGAAAACAAAAGATGATGCTGGCAACAGGACTCAGAGCCTTATGCATTTAAGCCTGTGCT